AAAATTCGGATTCTACGATCAAAAATACATAAGAAACGACACCCGACACGACGTATTTGCAAACTTTAAATTTTTTTACCCCAAAACCGCCATTTTGGCCGCCATCTTGAATTTGGGGGGGTTTGTATGAAATTTGAGATGGCCATCATCGATTTTCTTTTTCTAGACATCAAAACGAAGAGATTGATGTATCACACAATATGCCTTCACGAATCTGCACACGGGATTACGTATGCCCCCTGACTATAGGTTTGGCTAGGATATCCGCAGATACCCTATGGATGTTCTATGGATATATTCAATTTTCGATGATTTAGTAACCTTCACGCCACAGGGTGTCGCAGGATTAAGTACGAATATTGAAGGAGTCGATTCTTCGGGTTAAAAAGAGACGTTTTTGTGGTCTAACTTTTTTTTTCCAAAAACGCTTTCCCCGGAGGCACTCGCACCCTCCTCGCGCCCACCCGCGCTCCATTCGGTTCTTTTCATCTCGAAAACGATGAGTCATAGCGAAAAAATGCTTGACACATTTCCGGAATATTTTTCAACGCTGAAGGTAGTGGTGCCGTCAAAAATCAATTAAGCCGACTGCACACACAGCAAGTGGAGACCTGCAAGTTCCTGCAAGTGACACATCGGTGCCGCTGTGTTGAGTGTTGATCGTGCAAACTGCGCGGGCCGCGCAGCTTGCACGCTCACCGATGTAACCGATGAGCCACTTGCAGTCACTTGCGGGTCCCCACTTGCTGTGTGTGCAGTTGGCTTTACTGTTACTAGAAACATTAATTTTGGCCACCTTTAGGTTCGATACCCCCCCCCCCTCCCAAATGAGATTTCCTTTTTTGGAGGTCAAAAATGAAAAGAGTGCTAAAAATTACCCGTGGTTATCAATTTTCATTAATGGTTAATTAGGAGGCTACGTACCTCGGCCGCTACGCGGCCCAACCCCCTGAAGGCGCTCTGCGCCATCAAGGAGGGCCGCTTTCGGCCGTTTCTTCAGCTTCTTATCAATGTCGGTTCTTTTTCCGTAAAAAATTACGATAAGTATGCTTCTTATAAGAAGAAACGATTTTGGTTTGTGTTACATGAAGAAAAAATTGGCCTCCGCCCAATTTATATGCGCGGCGCAAGCGCCGCGTACCGGCGCTTCGCGCCGGCATATGGGCATCACGGTGCGAGGATCGCACAAGACTTTCTCGCTTTTGCCGGCACTCCGCGCCGGCATAGACACTTTTACTGGAATATTTAGAAAAATATATGAAAAGTATTGACATTTTATTTCAATACAAATGAAATGTGCGGCGCGTTCAGGGCGTTATTCCTTCAATAGCTCCTGACAGTGTCCAGAAAGTGAACACAAGGATATTCCCTGTTTTTAATCCTTTTTCTTACAGAAAAGTTTTCTGGCCCTGAATTTTAAGCTTAGGTAAGGGGCTTTCTTATTTTTTAACGATGAACAATTGAACACAGTCACCCCATTCCAAGAGTGCAAGCTTGCGCCTCCGGGTTTAATAGATAGAGCGATCTATTTTTATACGAGGAAAACATATGGTGAATGGATATCAGACAGTTGAGCATCAAGCACTGTGACATTCCACTTTGATCCTATAAAAAGCCCTTTTAATTTTGAAAAGAGTCTCACATCAGATGTTGGTTCCCAGCGATGGATGATTCTTCCCGAGAGAGGCTCAATTGTGAACCCTTGCACAGGGAGATTAGGAGATGTTGGGCCGTTGATAGCATAGATCATGTCATCTAGAATAATTAAAAATAGAATCTGTCAGATTAGGACTGAAATAAAGGATTTCCAAAGAAAACAGGAGTGGGAGGGAAAAAACGTCCAAAACGAAGGCTTGATAAAGAAAGTTCGAAAATCCGTTTGCAGGGAGAGAAGGAACCTAAAATTAAAATAAATTAATTGAGGGGCTTGTAGGACAAGGCGTAAAAGTGCTGTTTTTGAAAAAAGAATAAGGCATTTGTTCAAATTCACAACTACAATGCAACTTTAAAGCATCAAAAAGTGAGTTAAACTTCCTTTCTGCCATGCTTTATGAAATGTTGAATCTTTTGAACGTGTATTTCTTGAAATAAGCAAAAATTTCACTTATGTTCCTTGTCCTCCAAACCCCTCCATTGGTATAAACATGGTTTATAGTAGCATCTAAGTGGACAGACCGGAGTTGAGTGCAGCTCTTGTGCAAGAGCATCTAATTTCATTATCTTGCAATAATCCAGGAGAAATACGGAAAAGTAAAGAGGGAAACCCGGAGAAAATTTCGCACGAATTTTTTCCCACTGAAACCTCATCACTAGGTCCTCCGGGACAATGTACAACACGTTTACCACGTTGTAACCCCAGAATCCCCTTTTCAATGCCGCAAATTCATTATAGCAGCCATTAAACGACTACCTCGGATTCGAGGGTTTTAACATCTATCCATTGCGTGATGCGAGGGCTTATTTCCCATGTAATTTTGACCCTACATTACAAATGTAAAGTGTAAAATGTCCTCGAGTCAAACTGAGTGGGCCAAACCCAAGATGGTGGTCAAAATTTAAGGGCAGGATTTGATTATGTTCGACAGAAAAATTTTTAATATTAACGTATAAAGTCCAGTAGGTAAGCTAGGAATCTCAGTGTAATTTTGGCGAAGCAGTCTGGTGAGATGTTCGACATTTTACCAATAAAAAAAGACTGAAAGCCATGATGACACCCATCATATGTGTACATCATATGTTCATAGGGTGCACCTGTAGGTACACTTACAGGGCATACATACGATCCTGAATCGAAGAATCTGAAGTTGAGGGAGTAGAAAGCCCCTTTGCTAGCTAGTGCAAAGGTAGTTCCATATTCTCTGTAAATTTAAAATAATAATAATTATATAGATGATAGCAAACTTATTTTGCCGATGACGCGGCTAATACTTAAAATTAACTCTCCTATACAGGATTATCCAAAAGTCACCTACCACTCCTGTAGGTAACTCTTTTCCTAATTGAGATAGAAATTTGAAACTTCGGCATTGTTCCTCTGTCTAATGTAGCAACGTTTTGGTCCCCCCAAAATTTTGGAGGGCAGCCCCCCCCCCTAAGGGGACGGGGCTAACTTTTTTTTTCAAATGGCAACCCCCCTTTTGTGATACCTTATTCGAAAGATAATAAAAAAAGAACATTTTTAGCGCAAACCGCAGGTCAAAAATGTTTATTTTTGACAAAATGGCGGCCGGTCAAAGTTCAAAATGGCGGGAATTTGGCATCTCCGTTTTTTATCGGCGGATTGGTCTGAAACTGAGAATCCTGAGGTTTTTTAAGACGAGGAAAACGACTCTGGCATAGTTTTCCAGAAAAGTCAGTTCTTTTCAAAATGGCGGCGGCTAAAATGGCGGCTTAGAGCGGGAAGTAGATATTTGGGCTGCTTATCGTTAGATTTGTATGAGACTTGGTATCCGAGGGTATTTCGGCACGAGAAGAACGAATCTTTTATTGGATTTTTGAAAATTTAAAAAAATTTAAAATGGCGACCAAAAAATGAAGGAAAATCCATATCACGGCTGTTTACCGATGGATTTGCACGAAAGTCGATACTTTGGTGGTTTTTGGCTCGAAAAAAATGAATCTTTTGTTAGATTTTTTAAATACTAAATACTTTAAAAATGGCGGCGGAAAAATCGGTGATCTGGATTTTCCGTCATTTTTTCGTCACCATTTTAAAGTTTTTCGAAATTTCAAAAATCCAATAAAAGATTCGTTCCTCACATGCCGAAATACCCCCAGATACCCAGTCTCATACAAATCTAACGATAAGCAGCCTAAATATCTACTTCCCGCTCTAATAAGGCCGCTATTTTGAAAAGAACCGACTTTTCTGGAAAACTATGCCAGAGTCATTTTTCTCATCCCTAAAAAACCTTTTAGGATTCTCAGTTTCAGATCAATCCGCCGATAAAAAACGGAGATGCCAAATTTCCGCCATTTTGAACTTTGACCGGCCGCCATTTTGTCAAAAGTAAACATTTTTGACCTGCGGTTTGCGCTAAAAATGTTCTTTTTTTATTATCTTTCGAATAAGGTATCACAAAAGGGGGGTTGCCATTTAAAAAAAAAAGTTAGCCCCGCCCCCCTTAGGGTGGGGGGGGGGGGCTGCCCTCCAAAATTTTGGGGGGACCAAAACGTTGCTACATTAGACCGAGGAACAATGCCGAAGTTTCAAATTTCTATCTCAATTAGGAAAAAAGTTACAGAGGTTGTAGGTGACTTTTGGATAACCCTGTCTAATCGAATCCTGCATTTCTTTGACTGGCATGTTGGATTTCGGGCACCCTGTTTGAACGGGCTTTCCCTTCATAATAGAAACAAACAGTCAACCCACGCCATGTAGTCGGGGGGCAAGTGTTCAAAAATTACGTTCCGTGTGCACGTTTGTGATACAACTTGCCACTATGGCTTAATCTCCTCATTTTGGTCCCTAGAACAAGGTGTCTGGTTTCTGGAAAAGCAGAGAAAATCAGGGAGCCATCAGGCAATGACTCAAATCAGGGAATGAGGGCTGAAACCAGGAATGAGCCCATCAGGATGAGACATACGGAAAGCCAAAAATTTTGCGCGAAGAAAGGAGAAATCTTACCTTTTTCCCGGTAAAAAATCAGAGATTATCAGGAAATAGGTTCTTCAGTCATCAGGGAATGGATCAGAAAATATCAGGGAATATCAGAGAATGGGCAAACCAAAAATTGCTAGACACCTTGCCCTAGAATGAAAATATCGTTGGTGTGAAATTATCATCCACCTTTTTTCTGGAAACCCCGGTTTTCTAAGAAAATTGTTGCAAAAATACCAAAAAAGCTCGTTTTCCGAGAAAAATCGCCTTTCCGGCAAAATTGAGGGTGTTGAAAAAGTGTGAGTTCATATTTGGATTCAACATCTCAGAATAAATAAGAAACTCTCTATCACGGATCCAGGAAAATTATTTAAATAATAATTGCATGGCGACAAAAATAGGCCAATGTCGCTCATTTGCCCGGACAAAATGGATTTTCTAATGACTGAGGAATGATAGAAATTAATGGAGACCGTTTTTGGACTCGGAGACTCATACATACCTACATACCTCTCTACGTCAACGTCCTGCCGCCATCCCTTCACGTGACGCCCCCAGGCATCGCTTTTTTGCTGGTGGTGCCCAACCCAATCCAAAACTTTTTAGGGCAACCTCTCATCCAGACATTCTTTGCACATGTCCGCATTGCCCATACCACACTAACTGTCTGGACATGATGTCGGGCACGTTATCACTTTTAACCTGCATCACCTGGCGAATTCTTTTCATTATACTTACGGCCACGGTTGCCCTCTCGAGATGTCGGCAGATCGCCGCCAAAAACCATTTCATTTACCCTCAACAAATCTTGCATTCGCTTCGTCAAGGGCCACATTTCACTACCATAGAGAACGGTACTTTTCACAATTGCGTCATACATCCGGTGCTTGTTTGTCTTTGAAATCCTCTGATCCCAGAGCATCCCGTACAGCATCGCGATGGCTCTTCTGTCCTTCATCATCCTGTTCTTAATAGCCTGATTCATCTTTCCATCCTGATGCAGCCCAACACCGAGATACTTCCCAAGTAGCAGAGGTTGCAACAAAATCGTTTGATTCTTGCAACTAATAGATTGATGCGCAGATTGCCTACTCTCTCCCTCGAAGGAGTTATCATTGTTGGAACTAGTTGCAGTTAAGTTGAAACATGTTTCAACTTCAAAGTATTGCTGGTTGCCTATCTTTAGATTTTAAACAACTTTGGTTCAGCAATTTTGCAATCTCAGCAGGTTGCAACTTATTGTCTTCCGATCAGATCGCCGAAAATCGGCACTTATCAACCAAAAGTTGACCGAAAGTTGAAACTTTGTTGCAACTAATACCAACATTGTTTCAACTTGTTGCAACTTTTACATTGTGAAATGCTACTTGGGAAGTAATTTTCCCTCCTCGAGTACGACAAAGAAAATGAACAGCTTTTTGTTCGAATCGAAAATCCGGCATTCGACGATGTACTGGAGTTGAAAAAAAATTGGCCCATAAGAAAGTGTGAAAAATGGCATCATTGCAATATTAAATTACCTTAACGATCAAATTGAATGCACATTTCAAAAAAACTCAATTTTTGAAGAATTTTAGCGCAAACTGCGCCTCAATATTTTTTTTCGGCCTGAATTTCAGGCCTTGAAATTTTGGAGAAAGGCGTTTCCTGTAGTAAGGAATAACATACCTACCTATTGAAAATTGGTCAAAATATTACACGAAGGGGGAAATTTTGCCGATTTTGCACAGTGTTGAGTCAAGTTTGACTTAACGCAAAAATGGAGAATTTGCAAGCCAATTTTTCATTGTTTCATCGGAAAAGCGCCTAAAGAGCGGACTTTGCAGTATTTTTTATAATTTTTTTCGGCTAAGTATAGGAAATAGTATAAAAATAGATTTAAAAGTGAGAAAATGCGCCGCCTACCCAAGTAGCATTTTTCAATGTAAAAGTTGCAACAAGTTGAAACAATGTTGGTATTAGTTGCAACAAAGTTTCAACTTTCGGTCAACTTTTGGTCGATAAGTGCCGATTTTCGACGATCTGAACGGAAGACAAAGTTGCAACCTTCTGAGATTGCAAAATTGCTGAACCGAAGTTGTTTAAAATCTAAAGATAGGCAACCAGCAATACTTTGAAGTTGAAACATGTTTCAACTTAATTGCAACTACCCAGTTCCAACAATGATAGCTCCTTCGGGGGAGAGAGTAGGCAATCTGCACATCAATCCATTAGTTGCAAGAATCAAACGATTTTGTTGCAAGTTGTTGCAACCTCTGCTACTTGGGTAGTGACATCATCTTGCGGCATTTTCCATTGAAACGCATGTATTTTAGCAGATTAGATAAATTTTGTCATACCTCCACCAATAATTATTCAATTTATGAACCAAGGGTATCCTCGTGTTCAGCTCAATTATGGTAGCGTCCATTCAAACACAATGTTAGCAATATGAGTATACTATACCAGATAAGTGTGAGAATTAAAGTCGTTAGTGATTAGGGGACGTTACCTAATTCCTGGACATATTGCTATGTAAGAAAATGCAAAAATCGAGATTTTGGACTTTCTGTTTCAGTCTAATTGATGTAGGTAGACTCTAGAAAAGATGAAAGTTTTGGCTCAGATTCTAATAATCAAATGGCCATGATAACTTCACAATATTTAACCTGTGCTCAAACATCCCATTTTATGACTGATTCAATAATAATCAAAATGAAGAAACGTAGTGATAAGACCTTGACCTGAATTTGCAACAGCAAAAACTCGACCCAAATCTGCTTGCTGAATGCTGTGTTGTGTCCGCACAACAGAATGATCCATTTCTGGGTTTACACAAACTATCCGCATATTTTCGCGATCAGCGATGCACAAAAGGTTTTGCTTTTCAAGCAAAGTTATACTGTGCGGGACTTTCAGGCTAACGAACTCTGTAAACAAAACGAACAAAAAATTATCTATTTAACACAATGCACCATTGCACCTATGCAAACAAATTGAAAGAAGTCAAAAAGGATTAGGTAAAGCAGAATATTTGTAATGAAGTATTTTTGGAGACGAGAGGTTTCAAAACGTTCTTATCGTTTGAACCTTAGTGGCAGAAGCATGCATTGAAATATCAATCAAGGTATGCATAAAACATCTAAAAGAAAATCTGTTCAAAGGAGATGTAAAATATCTAATAAATGGTAATGAATTTCTATCAATATATCCTAATAATTGTTTTAATTTTTAGACATCATCTACATATCATACTTAAGTATGATACTTATCGGTAGATGTTAATATCGTATCCTTCTTTAAAAATTATCTATGCCTGGATGAAGCTTTAGGCCATAGTAGCAACTACCTATATGACAGGCCAGAAATCATCTCTTTTGTTGAGTGCGTGGTGCGTCAATAAGTTTATTTCACCGATTTAATTCATGAAATGCATCTGAACACACCATGATCTAAGGTGCAGCAAGAATCCTTTACTTAGAGGCTGACTTCTGCGTCTTGGAACCCCGCTTTACTGCAATAAATCCAAAGTTTAAATCTAAATCTATGTTTAACACTTTAAAATAAGCAATACCTCCACAGAAAATTGTCATAAGGTGGGGACAAAATTATTAATTAATGTGTGATTCTTATCACAATTGTAGGTAATAAGTTCAAAAATTCGTCAAAGGACGTGGTTAAAGTTTTGTGACGATGATAGCATCGTAAGAGGCAACAGATAAGTTACTTTTGTGAAGATAATAACATCATAAGAGGCAACAGATAAGTTACTGAAAATCAGTGTTCCTTGTCTTTGCCATTCGTCGTGAATAAAATTAATACAACTCTCTTCCCTCTCCCTCCCCCACCCTACCCGCAGAGATAGTCTCAGTTTCGCATTTTTTTTAAATAAAAAAAGGAAAGTAGGTACCGACTTTACAGCTACATTAGATTGTAAATTGATTTATCAATCAACATGGAAAATACAAACCTTCATTTTGCGGAAAGACTCGTTCTAGATCACCGAAATGATTGAATTTGAGTATTCGAGAATTACAATAACCATCTGCGATGAAAATGTGTCCATCTGAAGCTACTGCTACCGATGTTGGCTTACAAAGGTGACCAAAATCTGAGCCAGGCTTGAATCGCTTCCCGATAGTTAGCAGAGGACGTCTGGCGCCAAGGGAAAACTGCAGTAAAAAACAATTAATGTATACTTACTGGATGTCTCGGACCACCCGTGTCAGGATTTTTTTTTCCGTTCTTCCAGGTCGGATGAATTTGAAGACTGCAGGGTCGAATAGAGGATCATGCCCAAGGCAGCCGAATTTCACGGCCCCGAAGCCTCTACCGCCCCTTCACAATTTTGGAACGATTCTATCAAATTCAGAAATTGCGGAAAATTGTATCCCAAATCGATACCATGAAGTTCAAACGGCTCACTCCTGTTCGAAGTATCGACCCCTACAGGTGCGGGCCCATACCTTCCCAAAATTCACAATCGGTAAATTGACTTAGAGGCTCGTGAAAAAAACGTCCCGGGTGATAGACCACCTGGAATCCGAATATTTGACTTTTCCGAAGGCCCCCCAAACATTTTCTGAGTTTAATCTTTTGCATAATTGCGTCAGCTGGTGCATTATATTCTCTTTTTTATAATCACATTTAATCGATCAATGTTAGATTAGCTCCTCTTGTCCCGGAATAATTTATGCCCCCCTCCTCCCGCTGATGTAAGGCCGTTGCGTAAATTTTAAGCGCCTGGCGCAAGAATGCAGTCTGCCCCCCTCCGAGACTTGGTGGTAGGGTAAAAAATCCTATTTTTCTGCAATAGTTTAAATTTCATACCAGTTCCAGTGTTGAAACTTCTTTGTAGGGGGTGGGGTTGTTTCAGGGGATGAGCTCCCCCCCCCTCTATGTCTTACATTGTTATCAGAGTTCATGGACTGCCTTCTTTTCATTACAATGTACATTCTATACATAAAAAATGGGGTGCGTTGCAGGGGTCGAGACTTTGGAAATTGAAAAAAAAGTTATTTGTTGCAACAGCTCTTTGCCTCCCCCCTTTCACACACCCCCACCTTCCAAGTGTCTGGATACGCCTATCGTAAAAATTTAAAAAAATTTCTTCTGCTGATCTATTTCAAAGTCTTTAATAAATGATTTCTGTTAGTTTTGAAGATTAGTTGTATTAAAAGATTAGTGTGATTAATTTATTTATATCTGAAATGAAACATCTCAAGTAGCAGTGATCGCGATAAATTGCAATTTAATCGGAGAATGTATCGCGATTTTATCGACGTCGCGATTCATCGCAATATTATCGGGAGAAAAATCGTGATAAATTGCAATAAATTCGCGATTTTATCGAACGCGATTTCATAGAGATAAAATTGCAATAAATTGCAATTTTTCATCAACGCCCACGAACGCATGAATGACGCTTATGAAAGATGTTTCTATGCCGCCGCCGCCGGTTTTACCGAGGTCCGTTGGTAACTTTACCATCTCATTTTTTTTATCAATTATTGGTAATGTTACAAAGACAGACTGGTAAGCTTACCTAAAAACCGGTATTTTTACTGATTTTTTCAGGTAAGAATACCACTTTTATTGGTAATCAATTCTCGGTAACTTTACCATTTTATCTCTGTAATTCTACCACAGTCGATAAAAAATATGGCGTTTTTACCAAGGTCCATCGGTAACTTTGCCATCTTACAACTATTGGTAATTTTACAGAGACAGAATGATGAGATTACTAATAGAACCTTATTTTACCAACCGTATATCAAGGTATGAAATAAAATACAGAGGAGGGAAAATAAAAAAATTCCAATGAAAACTCGGTGTCAGTCTACGCAATGACAAAAGTTGTAATGTTGCGAAGCGCCGATCCACCTAAGAGGCTTCAATTCGCACTCGTCAGTCATGTAGGGGCCATGGCCTAGTGGCAAAAGGCTGGCCTTTCACCGTGGCGATTGGGTTTCGAATCCCCGCGGAGGGTTCGGGGATTTTACGCTCGTCTTCGTCAAAGGACCTGACGGCTGAACCTAACGGCAATCGGCTAACAGCGTTAATTCCTTTTTTTGGGCGATTTTATCGGTGATAAAATCGCTAGGATCATCAACATCTGAGCAATTATCCTCGATGTTATCGCAATAAAATCGCAATTTTTTCAGGCCGATAAAATCGCAATAAAATCGCGAAAAGATCGAGGATAATCGCTCCGATGTTGATGATCCTAGCGATTTTATCGGCGATAAAATCGCGATTTTTCCGTTGAAAAATGCTCCTTGGGTGGTGCGAAATCAAAGAAAAATGAGTGAGGAAACTCACTTTGAAAACTTGGTGTAAAGCTACGTCTGTGAGCCATATGTTTCCTTCAAAATCCACGTGAATGCCATGTGGAAGAAAGAAGATGCCACCTCCCCAGCTAGATAAAATGTTACCAGTCTCAGCATCTAAAGTGATGACTGTGTCAACTCTTATTGGTTCTTCAGTGCCTTCTTGGAAGTAATTTGATTCATTAAAGGACCTGAAAAAAGCGTTTAAATAAGGAATTAAGGGAAACTTTTCTGCAAAAATTACAGCATCTGGGATTCCGGGTTGATTACCTACAGTGAAGTAGAAGTAGGTATTCGATACAGCCCTAAGAGTGAAAATACCACAAAAATACATAAATTAAGGTGATACGACTGTAGCCATTTTTTGTGTCAGAGTGACGTGCGATATATCGCTTCAATTCGTTCCATAGTTTCAGCTTCTTGTCATTTTTTTTTTATTTTAAGATCGCACTTCTGTTGTCATTCTCAGAGACTAAAGAATTCATGTACCAAATTTGACAAAGAAATTCAACGTATTAAAGGCAGGGTTTTCTTCAGAGGAAAAATATCGCATTTGAGTGCAGTTTCGATATCAATATCGAATGCGATATTTTTCCTCTGAAAAAACCTGCCTTTATTAAGATTAATTTCTTTGTCAAATTTGGTACCTACATGAATTCTTCAGTCTGATCACAACAAAAGTGCGATTTCCAAATTCGGAAAAAATGAAAAGTAGCTGAAATTATGGAACGAATTGATGCGATCTATTGCACGTCGCTCTGACGCAAAAAATGGCAACCGTCGAATCACCTTAAGATGGGTATACGGAAAAAGTACGTATCCAAACATGTTTAAAATACGTACTAAATACTGAAAAAATCGTATAAAATATAAGTAATATCCGAATACCATACCTATAGGTAAACTTGTTCATTTTTGTTGTTTTGTGTTATGTATCAGATACATTTCTAGATAAGTATTTAATCTGTATCTAAAACTACCACATTTAAAATGTACTGCAGCTTGAGAGGAAATATATTTCCATTCACTGCCAGATGACTTTCAATCAACGATATACAAACTGTTTATTGGTATAGTGCAGTGGCTAATTACCAAAAAAGGGCAAATCCTGATACAGTTTAGCGGTTCTCAGGGGTCAAACTAGATGACATTTTAAGAGTTTTGAGTCGAAGAGGCATTTCAAATTTAGTGGCTGATCCAAGATGGCGGCCATTCAAAATGGCGTCCGGGCGCGTACTTTGAGCCGCTATAGATCGAGATCCACTGAACCGATTTAATTTTTCTTTTTTTTTTTGTTTAATATGTAATTTACAGGTGAATATAACAAAATCACAAAAATTTTGATTTTGACAATATACAGGGTGTTTTTTTCCACAAAAACCGGTTTTTGTGCATTGAAAAAAAAGCTTTTAACCCATATAACTTTTAAAATTGCATTATTAATGCCACTTTAAATATGCTTTATGTTAAAGAACGTGTTTTAAGCTTTCCAACGATATATTACATGATGGGTCTATAATTTAAGGTTTTCGCACCACTGCGATCCGCGCGATGGTGGCACAGCGCGGGCCTGCAGAAATTAATCCAGGGGCATATGTTGAAAAGAAGCCTCCCGTGGAATAGTAAATGGAGTAAGTGTGGAAAATGGCCTAATCTCTTCTTTTCGATGTGTAGAAAAATAATTTTGATGTTGTCAAGCTCAATTTTGCGTCCAACCCCTCCAATTCAAGATGGCGGCCAAAATGGGGGCTCGGGGGTTGAAGATGTTGGAATTTGTTTTTGATGTCGTGTAAGGGGTCTATCACTACGTAACTTTGGTCGTAGAGTCCGAATTTGAGGTCCAAAATTGTCTCCGGCGCAAATGGATGTCCAAAATCCAATATGGCCTCCAAAATTTCCACGATGGGGTCAAATCTCCGAGAGTTGCGTAAAATTGCCGAGTAGGATATCTTTCATAGAGTTTTCTGGGTCGTAAATTTCACCAATGAGGTCAGAATTAGAGTCACTTTATACCCAGAGTTAAGACAACTCACTTTTGGTTGGGCCAGGGTTGGGCTAAAAGTGGCCAAAAAAAAATCCAAATCTGATTGGTTCTCGTTCACGGAGGCCGAAACGAGTGCACCAAGATGGCGGTACCTCGAATGTGAACAAGAATAATGAAAATCTTACCTAATTGTGGTTTATCAAGAGTAAATTGTTATTTCCATCGGTCCAAAATGAATATAGATTAAGAAATTATTCATAAACCAATCCCATTTTCTTTTTAATTGATCAATTTGTTGATGTTGTTGTTTTTGTGTGACAGACATCGCAGGATTCCTGATCCTTATCCCTCAATATCGTTCGTTTGGGTGCACTCGTTTCGGCCTCCATGGCCAGCCAAGGCCGGCTGCCAGTCAGCTGATAATCGAGTTGTCTTAACTCTGGGTATAAAGGGACTCTAGTCAGAATTTCACTACAGGTTTATTGAAGCCCAAAAATTTCAAAATGGCGGTCAACATGGCTGCCGTTGCTGAGTGAAATATTTTGTTGAGACTCGTATCCTCGAGTGAGGTGTCCCTGCATGGGTTTTTGGGTCGTAAATTTCACAAATGAGGTCCAAATACCGAAACAGGCCCATAGAAGTTCTTTAAGAACCAAATTGGTGGCCAACATGGCTGCCGCTCAGATAGTGAGAACGGTAGAGAAGTTACCTTTCTGTCATTGAGGGATTGGCTGATGGTGGAATTTTTGGTTTCGATTTATCGTAAATCTCAGCTATAGCTTACTTTCTGATTTTAAAATAAAAAAATGTTAAAATCGTGGTGAGAATCCCGCTCTCCAAAGTTGGAATCCCCCTCTGTCCGCTGAACTCCCAAGGGTGACCGTTGTATTCAGAATAGTGTATTTGCCTTCAATCGAGAAAAGTATCTTCTTGGAAAAAATCAGGTAACACGTTCTTGAACATGTTCTAGATGTACTACAGACAGCTATCGCTACCACTCCGATGTGCTAGATGACTACATACGGAATCAGCGGAGTACATGACATGCACGAAAATTCATCATTGTATGCATGGTAACTTCTCTACCGTTCTCACTATCTGAGCGGCAGCCATGTTGGCCACCATTTTAAAATTTTTGGGCTTCAATAAACCTGTAGTGAAATTCTGACCTCATCGGTGAAATTTACGACCCAGAAAACTCTATGAAAGATATCCTACTCGGCAATTTTACGCAACTCTCGGAGATTTGACCCTATCGTGGAAATTTTGGAGGCCATATTGGATTTTGGACATCCATTTGAGCCGGAGACAATTTTGGACCTCAAATTCGGACTCTACGACCAAAGTTACGTAGTGATAGACCCCTTACACGACATCAAAAACAAATTCCAACATCTTCAACCCCCGAGCCCCCATTTTGGCCGCCATCTTGAATTGGAGGGGTTGGACGCAAAATTGAGCTTGACAACATCAAAATTATTTTTCTACACATCGAAAAGAAGAGATTAGGCCATTTTCCACACTTACTCCATTTACTATTCCACGGGAGGCTTCTTTTCAACATATGCCCCTGGATTAATTTCTGCAGGCCCGCGCTGTGCCACCATCGCGCGGATCGCAGTGGTGCGAAAACCTTAAATTATAGACCCATCATGTAATATATCGTTGGAAAGCTTAAAACACGTTCTTTAACATAAAGCATATTTAAAGTGGCATTAATAATGCAATTTTAAAAGTTATATGGGTTAAAAGCTTTTTTTTCAATGCACAAAAACCGGTTTTTGTGGAAAAAAACACCCTGTATATTGTCAAAATCAAAATTTTTGTGATTTTGTTATATTCACCTGTAAATTACATTTTAAACAAAAAAAAAAGAAAAATTAAATCGGTTCAGTGGATCTCGATCTATAGCGGCTCAAAGTACGCGCCCGGACGCCATTTTGAATGGCCGCCATCTTGGATCTGCCACTAAATTTGAAATGCCACTTCGACTCAAAACTCTTAAAATGTCATCTAGTTTGACCCCTGAAAACCGCTAAACTGTATCACGATTTGCCACTAAGTTGCAACTAGCCACCGCACTATAGTGGCCTACGGAAAAGTAACACACGTGGAGCGGTCGTTCGATAGGCGGGCGGAAAGTGGAACTGTCTAATTTCTATTCTGATCATAACCCCTATTACAGAGGATAATACAGGCATTTTTACAATAAATGATTTAGCGTTGAAATTTTTACCGTAAACGCATTTGAGAAATGGCTCATATCTGGACACAGATTTTCAAACAGTTGGTTCTGAATTTCATTTAAGGTGAATCTTCAGCTGTATACCTAGTTCCGGAAAAATCCACCACGTCGCGCTGCGAAAATCCGGCTCCGAAATCAGTGATTTTTTAAAAATCACAATAGATATTTTTAATTCTAGGACTCATCTCTATACAATAAGCTCCGAGACCTCCTAATTTTGCATAACTGGTAACGCTTAGTTCCACCGGGCCGATTTTCATGATTTTTGAAAATTACGTTACTAATCCGCCGATATCTCGCCTACTCGCGGGCGAATTTCGCTGAAATTTCGTATACAACTCAGAAATATGTTCTAGGAAAGGTATTTAGTCATTTCCGACGAGACCAAGTCGGGGAAAATGTTTCCGGCCCCAAGGTAAGCTGAAAACTCTGAATATTCCATCCAGAACCGGCATTTTATGGCACATTGTTGCCAATTTACGGGCCTCTTCAATTTTTGCAATCATGTGAGGGTGTCTTGGTACTAACCAATCATCTGATGTATTTTTAAAGATGTTCGCTTGAAAAACTATCAATTCCGAGCTATTTTAGTTTATTTATGGAAATTTGGGTGAAAGGACTTAAATTTGAGAAATTTTAACGGCCAAATTCGGAATTTACTACCGAAATTATATAGGAATCGAGATGTATCTCGATGTATTTCGCGGAGAAAGAAACCCTCTGGTTCATAGTAGAGTCCCTTTATACTGAGAGTCAAGACAATTTGAATCCATTTCTGATTGGTTCCCGTATTTTAGGCCTCCACAGTGTCACAAACGGGAATAAAGATTACATTTTCACCAATTGCAAAGATTATAATCTGGAATGGACCGGGGAACTACGGGTTCGGCAAGGAACAAACGGAATGAGAGGAGGAACGGAGAAAGGCATTTGAGAATGGGCCGATCAAAGATTACGAAAAACGTTCAATTTCTGTAATCTTTATTCCCGTTTGTGACATCCATGAGCCGAATTGTCTTGACTCTCAGTATTAAGGGACTCTAGTTCATAGTTTCTTCACAAGTGTTCTGGTTTGCCGCCATTTTGAACTTTGAGGACCCCCATGATGGCGGGAAATGGGAACACAATTTTTTTTGGCTATAGGGCATCTCAGTATACCTATCCAAGAGTCACCATGCCAATTTTCAAGCAGAAGTATCAATTAATAAGAAAGTTACGGATTTTTGTCCGCCAAAACCTCATTCTTGTTAATAGTGTGACGTCACGCGACAGGATTGAACCTTTTCGGCGCGGTGCGCGTAAACAACCACGTATACCCAATGCATTATTATAGGGAGAAACAACTTTTCCATGGCGCGGGCGTCCTAAGCAGCGGAATAATTTTGATCAACTCCTCAGGACAATCGGTAAGCGTGCACCAAGTTTAAAGGAAATCGCTTCAGCCAATTTTTCTCNGGGGGGGGGGGGGGGGAGATAATCCAGAGTGAGTGGTAACAGTAGCTTTATATAGAGTAATACCCATCTTAGTAAAAGTGGAGTTTAAATGTCGCAGCTTACCCAGAGTCCCATATCTTAGGACCTCTGTGAAAAATCACCGGTTGTCCTGCAGGGTTTACTGAAATTCCAGAGATTTGTCCAAGATGTTGAATGGATCGTATTGGCCAGTTTCCAACTTCAGTGATGGAACTCACTCCGGAGGATTCCTAAAATTGGAAGAAAGAAAGGATTTAAGGTATCACCATATCTGCACAACTCCCGATTCAACAGTGCTGGTGCTGAAAATGAATGTTCTTAAAAGACTTTAAGAAGCCGAAAAGAGGGATTTCTTGGGGTCAAAAATGGTGTAGGACTTAGCTATAGGGTAGGTGGTGGTAAGAGTACGCACGGGGTAAAAGTGCGCACCGCACTTTTTTCGCGCGCTTTGTTTGAATTTATGATGGCACCGGGTGTTGGTTGTTGGCAACATTGAGTTTTACCTCTTGACGAAGTTTTGTTAGAAGCAGATGTGTTTTGACGTAAATATGAGGCAAATTCACTTTTCATGCGAAAAAGATCGATTTTTTTAGTATTTGTATTGTCTGTTGTGAGTAGAATAGTTGATGGAAAAAATCGGACAGGCACCATATCAAAGAGTTATAGTGTTGGCTTTAATAATGCGTAGTTGTTTTCACACCTTGGGCCTCGGGCCCCAAGTTTTATTTTATGTTGTCCAATGTTTACAAATGGGGCAAGAGTACGCAGCCAGAATGGGGCAAGAGTACGCAGCTAGAATGGGGCAAAAGTACGCGCCCAAAAGTGGAGCGTGGTGGTGGGGGGAGGTGTAAAGGAACTTCAACATAGAAGATGTAGGCAACTCAGTATCTTAATAGATCGTATTCGATACATCAAACGGGTGAGATTGTATCGATATCGATTGGTTCAAAACATAAACATAGCCTCAAAAGTAAATTCAGAAATCTGAGGGAACGGATCTTTTGAAACAGATTTTTTATTCTTTTGAGTACCAAATGCCAATGCAAAGTGAAATTGTCAGGAAATTTCTCATTTTCAGCTTTTCCAATTAAAATCCTTACAGTTTGGTTTGAGGTTATGTTCTATTGTTTTGAACCAAACGATACATCGAACCGTTATCGAATACGGTCTATACATTTTTATGTTCCTTTGTTCAATTTGAGCATTCTAACTTTGTTCTTTTCCTGTTTAAAAAAATATTGACTTCGAAAATTATTTGGGAGCTTGTAATGACTGAATTATTTATTTTTTTCCACAGTAAAAGTGGTTAGGCACTACTGAAACTCTCAGAGACCAGTTTTAGTCGTTTTCCGGGATGTAACAGCAATTTGGAGCCCGGGAGATGTTTTTAAAAAAAAATTCACCTGCGTACTTTTGCCCCATTGAATGAGGCAAAAGTACGTATTTTCAAATTTTTTTAAAAAATTCGTCACGGCCATGGATTTGATTTCTCAGTTCGGACAACGCAGCTAGGGCACTTGTGCGCGAGGGCTTGCAGTAGGTGCCTGACCACTTTTCCCGCCTTGAAAGTCGATTCGGTCGTGGAAATACAGGAAAAACCAAAAAATGCGTACTCTTACCCCCACCTACCCTACGGCCCTCCAAAGCCCCAAAATTTCAGGGGGGGGGTCGTGGCCCCCATAATTTTGGGTCAATAGGGATTATGTGCCACATCATTTAAAAGGTATTGACCTCTTCTCCCAGGAGAATTTTAGATTTTGAAAATCGAATAATTTTAATGCCTACAGTGTCAAATTGAAATTTGCCCTAAAAATGCCCTGTAACTCCAAAAATGGGGGCTTAGGGAAAAAATGCATATAACAAAAAGTTCTTATTTTTTGCCCTAGAATTTAAATCCGTAGTCAAAACATACCCTTCCCATTTGAAATTTGCGGGAAACAGGGGGCACCCCGCCCCATAAGGATTAAGCATAGGTTAGGGGTTGATTTATCGCGGAAAGTTATCGTCCCGAAGCTCAATTTTCGGTCGTTTCTGGGATAAAGATAGTGGACAGGTGCTCTAGAGCATCCGGTAGGTATATATTGGAATAAAGCTATTAAACTGAGAATTGTAAGATGAACACACTCAGAACCTAGCGTGCAGCTTGATATTGTCTACTAATGTCGAGACGGAAAATTCGGATGAACCTGGGCTTAACGCAGGGTGCGTACCTGTGTGTCTGGAAAATCCGGGCCTCGGCCGAGGAGGTACTTAAGGCTTGAATAAAATGAGTCGCGAACCCGCGAGGATTCAGTAGGCACGGTGCAGAGAAGATAACTTAGATAGATGAGCCACGTGCTGTGTACACCCATGTTCGTGGCGGAACTAAGTCAGCTGCACTTCGTTCCTCAGGGGACTGGTTCCATTGATTATTGGAGATGCGTCGTTGGACGGGCTGCGGGAGCGTGTGTCAGCGCGCGCAGCCCCGCTAAAATACCGTGTCCCAATCTCCCATCGCGCGCAGTTATGGCGTGGCGCTATTTAAATAGGACACTGTATGGGGTGAGATGTAAGAATATGTCTGTCGTTAACTTCAACTCTAACAAGAACAAAATAAGTATTGTTTCTTATGCAAAATGGCTCAAAATCAACGATGGAACCATTACGCCTCATTCTCTAGTAGCCAAAGCACTAGTTTCAGATACCTATCAAATGGGGACCATATTTCAGACATAGGTACTTAGAATCCAATTTTTACACTATTAAATACCTGCACCTATCTAATAAATTACGGCACCTAAGTAGTTAGAAAAAGAGAGACCCCCGCAAAAACACATCGTGACAACACTGAAGCCTACGGTTGCAAAACATTAAATGCTAAGTGCATAGGAACAGTTGTTTCATTAGAAAACATCATTTAATTTGACAACAGTTCTGTGTGCGTTTCCCACTGTCTGAAGTTCAGTAAAACTAAGGACTCAATCAGATATCAGAGAGTACCCAGATAACATCGAACGTTTCAGCAACGTGGAAATCAACGTAGACCTTGAAACATTCCGGGAACGTTTACAATTTCTACGTAGTAATCAACATGGAAGAACAGGGGTGCTCCGAAAACGTCTCACTGGCGACTAGAGTCCCTTTATACCCAGAGTTTAGACAACTCACTTTTGGTTGGGCCAGGGTTGGGCTGAAAGTGGCCTAAAAAAAATCCAATTCTGATTGGTTCTCGCTCATGGAGGCCGAAACGAGTGCACCAAGATGGCGGTACCTCGAATGTGAACAAGAATAATGAAAATATTACCTAATTGTAGTTTATCAAGAGTAAATTGTTATTTCCATCGGTCCAAAATGAATATAGATTAAGAAATTATTCATAAATCAATCACATTTTCTTTTTAATTGATCAATTTGTTGATGTTGTTGTTTTTGTGTGACAGACATCGCAGGATTCCTGATCCTTATCCCTCAATATCGTTCGTTTGGGTGCACTCGTTTCGGCCTCCATGGCCAGCCAAGGCCGGCTGCCAGTCAGCTGATAATCGAGTTGTCTTAACTCTGGGTATAAAGGGACTCTACTGGCGACGTAGCAGGAACGTGGAAAGGAACGTTGCTCTGTAAACCTAACCTAAAAATTTAAAATCGCTCTCTCGCCGTCTCGCTGTCTACGCAAAGACATAAAGACGGAGTGCTCGTATCTAAAAGCACGGGGAAAAAGTGAAGCCTGGTTTGGCGCTGGGTGTTTGTGTGAGTGTGTAAATGAGCGCGGGAATCCATGGCGGCAAACGGAAATTTGATTTGAACTTGTCCTCTTGATTTTTCCACATTTCTTCTTCGAAACGTATTTTAAATGCCTAAAACGAATATATTAAGAACGTTTGGACTGCGTCCTACTACAATACACCTGATTTTGCTAAGTAACAGGCAGTAATCTCAGATAAAGTTAGTTTTACTTCTGCTCATGGTGGTTCTGCAGGTTCAAACAGGCCGTTACAGTTCTAGATGACCGTTACTCCCAAATGAAATTAATCGGTCAACGACGGACCAAAACTAACCTAAAGTTAAAGAAATATGAGTGGGTAAGTGAATTTGGGCAAAAATCAACCTAGAATACTTTGTTTCCGCAATTTTATTTAGTTCCCGCCCTACGTTTGAATTTCAAACTTGTCCCGATTTCGCCGCCAATCCTCTAGCCAATAGTAGAGGTGATTGAAGAGAAGCTTCACTTTTTGCTTTTAGCGCTCCGTCTTTATGTCTTTGTGTCTACGTTTCCGGGACGTATAATTTAACGTAGTCCAAAACACGTTGTACTAGAAAAGGCGGCACAGGCAGGACACAGGCCAGGAGCGCCCACTAGGTGGCGCTGCATTTCGCGGCGCAGATTACTCAAAAAGTCTACAGCGCATGCGCAGCCCATGTCGGCACCAACCAAGTTTCTGGAATCAGTCTGATCAGCAAAGGTTGCAACTGTTCGAGAGAGTCCACCATTTGTTATCTTGATTTTGGCGTACCAAGTGATTTTCGCAGTTTAATATTGTGCTTGAAGTGATGCTTATACCTCCGTGTTTTACATACATAAAAGTTATCGTTAATTATCTGGTTTGCACTTACTTGTCTGTTTCTACTTCTGTATCTCAAGTCAATGTCCACAATTTTAACCCGTGGACCTCATGTTCTACTCTAAAACTGAAAGTGCTTATTCATCCTCTAGTACGTACACCTAAATGAAAGTCGTGCCTATGAAGTGAATGTTAGTATTTTAATTAATCGTCATTTATCGCAAATAAGTAGATAATTAACGAAATTTTCTAATCGTAAACACGTTAGGAGGGAAAGAGACGCACAAACTGCGAAAAGCCCAAAAATGAATGCCACACTATGTTTTGCGAATAAAATGGATTCTAATGTTACTGCACGTCCGTGCAATGTAGTCACTGCCACGTCCCTGCAATGTAGACACTGCAAACGTTCCTGCGACGTGGACACTGAAACGTTCTTGTAAACGTTGTCGCTGACAACGTTTACACGGGATCGTTCCGGAAACGGTACTTAATACATGGACATCCACGTAGAATTACACGTTCCGGTACACTTTGCTTTCCACGTGGAAGGTTTCACGAGAAACGTGGAATTCTACGTTGTTGTCAACGTTGAAATTGTTATCTGGGTATGGAAGGTTAGAGGTAGAATTGAAACAGAAGTTGAGCCGTCAGCAAGGAGTTGCGTACGTTGGCACGAGAGTGCGCGGCGAGCGGGATTCCCATAAACTACTGCGCTGATTGGCCCAGCGAGAGTTGCGGACGAACGATGTATAAAAAATTGCCTACGTGAGGGTGGTCCGGCAGCAACATACCCGCCGCCAGTCGCTGGAAAACAATAGAGTCCCTTTATACTGAGAGTCAAGACAATTTGAATCCATTTCTGATTGGTTCCCGTATTTTAGGCCTCCACAAAGTCACAAACGGGAATAAAGATTACATTTTCACCAATTGCAAAGATTATAATCTGGAATGGACCAGGGAATTGCGGGTTCGGCAAGGAACAAACGGAATGAGAGGAGGAACGGAGAAAGGCATTTGAGAATGGGCCGATCAAAGATTACGAAAAACGTTCAATTTCTGTAATCTTTATTCCCGTTTGTGACATCCATGAGCTGAATTGTCTTGACTCTCAGTATAAAGGGACTCTAGAAAACAATAGAAAATAGTAGTTGCGTACGTCGCCAGCGAGCGCGCTGCGAGCGCTTCTGTTTCAATTACCTAGCATTGAGTCGGGCCTCTAACCTTCTATACTCTCTGGACTCAATTGTGGTGGCCACATTCTTCATGATGCAGTTACTTCTCAACCAATGAACACCAGATTCGTTTCATACTTAGAGTTTCGCCTTGTAGGATCAATTTTTGATTGGCTCTTGCATTTCGGTTAAAGCGAAAGACTGAGTATGAACCATGGAACGAAGGGTACAACAAGAAACAAACGGAATGAGAGAGGGAATGTAAGTAGGAAATGGTAGGAAAGCAACAAGAGCAAAATAAACAAAACCTCGAAAATAAGAAGGCAAATTTTTATCCAGACGAATTTCTACTTCAATCTTAAATTACATTCTCCTCAAAACCCTTGTTCTTTTAGTGCATTTTCACGATATTCATAGTTTTTGCTGCTATACTGTGTGCCATCCTATAAAGCCCTATCTGAAAGTAAATAAATTCGCGGGCAATTTTTAAACTTTACTTTGCTGCAATTGGTCCGAGTTCTCAGGATCTGGAAAGTTGCAAGAATCAGAATCAGCATTGGTGCGCTCTCTCGTGGCTAACGCCGAAACCCTAGTTTTCACTTTCACTTTTCTCCACCAGTAGCGCTCTACTTTCGTTCCGGTTCTCCAATTCGCTCTGGACTTCCTGAATCCTACACCCAACTCCGGGAGCCACCGAATGCTTCGGTTTTGCTAGCTCCTCGTATAGCCAGACCTTTAGGTACTTATTCACCCAAAAACGACCTGATATAAACTACAAAAACCCTCAAAAACATTTTTCGGGCAAAAAATCCGGTCGAGGAAATTGACGTGTCACTTCCTTTTAATCAAGTATAAGATAGGCAAAAACCTTTGATGAATTCCCAAGGTCCACTAAGACTAATAATCATCAAAAAGTTCCAAAAACTTACTCGAAAGGAAAAAAATAAAATGAAAAATAAATCCCTTGCCAAAAATAAGTAAAAACCCGATTTTGAGATAAATCCCTCGAATGAACTTGAAATCACAAAATCGGTCGAGGATGTCAACTGAAATTTTTCCCCCTTTAATTATGAGCTCCGCAACAAGCGTGACTCGCTTGTACCTTTTCATACACGAGCCGCATGAATTCATCTCTTCTTCTCTCCTCTCCTTCCGTCCATGGACAGAGGTCCAAAATTTTTCGGATTTACTGACGCGACCGGCTGCGGCTCGGTGCGTAAACATGGGTGGATTACTAAGATTACACATAAGTCAGAGAGAAACACGTACAACCTGTCGACTTAAGTGGGGCTCATTCCGTGAAGGGACTTAACTCCTCCACTATAACAATTCCACTAATAATTTTGCGATTCAGAAATCCCCTCACTTGTCCGGATCTAACGTGTCTGTCGAAATGTCATCCAATGGTACAGATGTATTTTATACTTAACTGATAGAGTATAAAAACAATTATTACTTACAACCTAACAACCGTACAAAGCAAATGGTAAGCTCCCTTAAAAAAAATCCATGTTTCAGATGAATCATGTTTCGAAAAAGTCTAACATGTGGTTATGGAAAAATGGGTCGACTGGTGAAACTGCAACCGACTTGAAGCCGACATCAGGGATGATAAGAAGGCACCGATTCACTGAGAGCATCGAGCCGCAGCCGGTCGCGTCAGTAA